GTGTGTGTGTGTGTGTGCACGTGTGTGTGCCTCGTACCACAGCACTTGTGGAAATCAAAGGCCAACATTGGAAAGCCAATTCTCTCCTTCTACCATGTGGGTCACAGGGATTGAACTCAGGGTGTTAGGGTTGGTCCCAGGTGGTTTTGTCAATACAGTTGTCTTTCTGAGCCCTACTTATGTTACCATTAACATATGACTTGGTTTACTTCACTCCAGTGATACTTATCTGGGAGATCAAGCTATACTCAAAAGCCGGTAAGCCACTAAGAGCCATGATGAAACAAACACCAAGCACAGAAAAGGTCCAAACAGTAAGATTAGTGCTGGATACACCTTAGTTGGGTCACTTCTATACTCCAGTTGTTTTTCTCTCAGCATCTGGAGGAAGTCATTTAATTTTCTGACTAATAATCTGATACGCAGTTTTTTAAACTTTTTTTCATGTGTATATATGTATGGTTCACATGTGAGTATGTGTGTTTGCATGTGTGTGAGTCTGTGTGTATGTGCTAGCATGTGGTGACCCAAGACTGACATCAGGAGTTATCTTCAGTTACTCTTCACTGCATTAATAGAGGCACTCTCTCAACCGAGTGCCGAGCTCATGGATGCAGACTAGTCTAGCTAGCCATATAGTTCCAGGGATTCTCCCATCTGCACTGTTTTTTTCACTATAATTACAGAGGGGCTGCCATGCCCACCTGGCAGTGGTGTGAGTTCTGGAGATCTCAAGTCTGGTCTTCACATGTGTGCAGCAAGCACTTCCTCACAGAGCCAACCCCAGCCCTAACACCACTTGCTTATGGTATAATGGATGGCACAGGTTAAACATCCCACAGATGCTAGCTATTATAAAGCCATAATGGAGAATATAAGTCTTGGAGAATATGTGTAGTTTTTAGGATTCCCTGTGACAAAAAACAAATTAGGAGACAAGAAACGGGGGCATTAGAATGAGGGTCGAGGCAGGGGCATTAGAATGAGGGTCGAGGTGTAGAATGAGCTGCCTTCATGGAGACGGCTCAAGACTCTGGTTTATGTAGCATTTTCCAATAAAGAACAATATGTTTACAGATAAGTGATAAGACAAAGAAGACCTGAGTCTGAGGGCCAGTGATGTGGGAGGGTTAGTATTTTGGAAACTAAGTGGGTACAGGCTACTTGGTACCATTTTCTGAACTACTTTCTGTGACATCAGCTATAGACTGAGAACACTGAGTGAGGTGATGGAACTTTGCCCTCCTGTGTTGAGGGAAGCAGAGGGACACATTAACAAACTTTTGTTGAGCTCTTGGGTTGCAAAATAGAAGGGTACCTGGGACCTTTTTTCGTATCTACTTCTTCTCAACTGTCATCAGCTCAAAATAAGGCTTATGCCAAAGTACCAGATTTGGGTATGGTAGGTTTTGCAGCTCTTCACAGACAAGAGCCCCAGGAAAGGTATAAAAAGAGTTTATGAAAGATAGAGATTGTTAGGTAGGTTTGTAGGCTATACTCTTAAATTGTGAAAATGAAAACTGTAATAAAGACCCAGAGAAAATTCTTTAAAGGGATGCACAAAATGTTTTGTTTTAAGCACAAAAGTTTGTATTTTGTAACCAAGAGAAGCATGGCACTCTACTGCACTATGAGCTAAGGGTATCATGCAGAAAAGAGTGATTTACATTTAATCTAAAGGTGGGAGAAAGTAGGACAAAGGTTGAGAGGTGAAGCAGTCAACATTTGTATTTACCAGAGGTAATAAAGTTAAAAAATGGATGATTGGATTTTATTGTAGGCTAACACAAATTTGAGCTTCATCTCCAAATCCTAACTGCTCCTATGTGATCATGAGGTGTCACTAGGAATTTGCTACATGTCAGGATAGACTAACATGACTCTTGTCACCTGAGACAAACTGTTGCACGTTCTTCCCCTAAGATGAATACTTGACCCCCATTTCTTCCTATACACGGTGACTTATTTACTCCTGGACCCACGCTTGTGATGATCTTAGGATATAGTTGTATTTAGTTTTAGGTCTTTTTTTCCAGAAATAAGTACTGTGAGTGAAGGCCATCGGTTGCACACGAGGCTGACTTAGTTGTAGTTTTCAGGAGCCATTGGTGCTGTCTTAGTAGTCCCTGCAGAATTCCATAATGGCTCAGTGTTGCGCAAACACCTCTCCATTTGTCATGATAATGAAATAGAGAGAAGTACCTTATGGGGATAAAGCTAGAAGAGGCTTTTATATGATTACATCACAGGTGATAGATGCTAGCAATTTTGCTTATTATGAGAACGGTTCTCCAAAGAGAATTCCCGATGTATTTTTTTTTTCATTTGCTCTTTTCTATATGTATACAAATATAACTGATATCATATCATAAATATAAATAAAAAAGTTAAGAGTAGTCAAGAGGGATTTCACATTTGCCTGAGTAGAGCAAACTGGAATTTGTGTGTATTTGCTCAGGCCTCATTTTGATTTAAGGGTGATTGGGCAGACTGAGAAAAAGAGCGATTCTAAGAAAATATTTACTATGTTCATTGTGTTTGCCATTGTGACCTTTGGAAAAAATTATTGAAGGGTGCAGAAGCAGAAATCAGAAAGAATAGTCCTTAAAATTGGAATAGCAGGTCTGGAGAGATGGCTTAGCAGTTGGGAACTCTTGCTGCTGTTTCAGAAGGCCTGTGATTCCTGGTACCCACATGGTGGCTCAGGGTCACCTTTGACTCTAACAGCAGAGAATCTGATACTCTCTTCTGGCCTACAAGTGCTTCAGACATGTGTGAGGTACATAGTCATACATTCAGGCAAAATACTCATACACAAATGAAAATTCGAAATTGAATATAAATAACCTGAGATAAAGGGAGTTCCAAGATTTCTAAAGCT